TTCAGCTCTCAGTTACTGTCACCCACGCGATCGTTCTGTCCCACCGCATACATCCTTTGTTGGGGCTTGTTGCTGCTTCTGAAGCGCAAGCAGTAAGTTCCGTGACGCTTCCATTCTAGCGCTCCTTGCCGGTCCTTATCAGATTTTATCACCTTGTGTTACCCTCCAAATATGTTCCCTGTTCCCTTCTTCCCCCATATAAAGTTTCAAAACAATTGCCCTGCTGCGACGCGCACTACGAATTTTTAAAAAGAATTTAAAAGCGGACGGACGAGTGCACACATTTACACACAGACAGGCATAGTAGACGAATTACATATGCTGACGACGACGTCGAGGCTTAGAATTGACCTGCGATGATCTACCGATCGCGCGCCAAGGAGTGGTTTATAGGATCGATGAAGAGCCGTGAGGGCTACATTCTACATTCTAATTCGACTTTATTAACTCTCCATTCTTTTTTGATACTTGGTGGTGGTACATTATTACCTTGTTAACATTGATTGCTCTTTAGAAGCGAGTTCTAATAAATCGTGTGTTGCTTGCTTGGCCTATTGGTGGACTAAACGCGTGTCATCGTGTGATATCTGTATTTAACTACTGATTCCTCGTTATGGTGGAAGTCAAGGCTGACGAGTGAGTTTTTAAGATCGAGTTCTTAGCTTATTAGTTCAGAGTTCGGGTAATTGATTGATTTATCCTCTGATCCCACCAATTTCAAACGCGTGGCAGACAGTTTCTTTCGCCGCAACGTCAGTTTCGCAATTTTGGTCACTGACAATTTGGGCACAAACTTCATATCGAGTTTGTACATAATGTCAGCTAGATCCCATCTTATAAACGCCGGGTCACTCTGTCCACCAATAAATTAGGTTCACTTTTGCAACGGTATCAAATCGAAAGGTTCGAGTGATTCGAGTGGCAGAAGATCAGTCCTCTATTGATTACCAAGACCATCATAGGCGCATAGAAGAGGCTAATAGGAGCAATTCAGACTTGCACAGCTCACATTGAAAGTCTCTTGAGCAGTTACGCCGCTACATTAGATTCGCTTCAAGAACCCACCCAAAAGGAGTTTGAAGTCTATGACGAGTATGCAGCAAAAGCGGACGAGAGACTTTCGGAAGCTCTTGACTACCTTGTACTTCTAGAAGCTAGGTCGCGTTCGCTGCGCTCGTAGTACTAATAATCATCCAATTCAAAATACAGTCGCTGCTCCATCTATACACAAAATCAATGGGAGAATGTACCACGGATTAGGAAAATGGAGCTTCCGAAGTTACCTATTCCCACGTTTCGTGGAAATATTTGGGAGTGGGATAACTTTTGGTCATTGTTTGATGCAAATATCCATTCCCAACCACTGCCTCAGCTATACATAATTCAACTACTTGTTGAATGCGCTTAGGTGTGAAGCCCTTTCAGCTGCTGAAAGTTCCAAGAGTCGTCTGAAAACTATTCTAAGGCTGTTGAATTCCTAAAATCTAAGTATGGGAATTCAGAAGAATTGGTGAATCGGCTTATAGAACGATAGATAGGATAGATAGAACGCGGTTACGATCCTCGTCTCTTAAGGATCAACGCGTTTTCTTTGAAGAACTTCAAGTCATAGTTTCTCAATTGAAACAAAAAGGCGAGAACGTTGATAGTCAATGGTTACTTGAGCAAGTAATTTCTAAATTTCCTTTGCAATTCAGCGTAGGGTACTGGAGAAAAACACGCGTTACCGCACGAGAATCGTTTTGGAATGGATACTTCAATGAAATTTTTAAAGGATTCTATCTCGATTGAAGAAATTGAAAAATGATTATGCTTTTCACGGTAGTCAAGAAAATCAGAGACAGCCACAGCACGTAGATCGGAAAGAGAAACAGTATTTGAAAGGGTGCAAGTACTGCAGCGGCGATCACAAATCTGCAGCGTGTTTAATCTATAAGTCTCCAGGAACAGTCGCGTTACTTACGGGAACACAATCTATGTATGATTTGCGCGTCTCTACGACACAGTACACCCCAATGCACGCAACATTTGTGTTTTATATGCCAAGGGGCCCACCATATACATCTTGTTGATTCAAAAACTTTTCAAAACAGAGGACCGCACCCAAACGCAAGGTCAGCCGAACCTTCAACAACGGACGGCACGCTCTCAACTCTAAAGTAGCTCACTGAAGAATACGCACAAGCCCATCACGAAAGTCAATCAAGTCTACACACACGATGACGTGGAACAAATATCATAGATCCGGGACCAAGGATCGCCTGAGGAAATCGGCGAACCAGTGGAATCGGCAATGAATCCGACGATATGCGAACTCCAGTCAGCACAAAAGGAAAGGAAGCCGGAGTCCACGTTCCTCCCACCTGGATAACTGACGATTTTCGATCCTACGTCCAAGAGTCAAGGAAGGTTGTGGTCTTACTAGACACAGGAGCAGAGTTATTCCTTCATCGATAGTTCACTAGCGGATGAACTAGGATTACCAACAATAGAGGAAACTAAGCTGAGGCTGCATACCTTTGGCTCAAACACTATCCAAGAAGAGCCAAGCCGACGAGTACAGCTTAGATACCTGGGATGAGGACGGGCAACCCCTGAGGCTTGTTCTGTACACGCATAAGATTCTGGCTAAAGCGGTAACGGCTCCACCAATTTTTGAAGAAGATGTGAACTACATAAGATCACTTCGATTCGAATAGGTGGAAACCACAAGCAAGTAAAACCTCTCATATTGCTTGGCTGTGATCAAGTTTGGTCATTGATTAGAGATGGCCAATCCCATATTCTGCTCCCTTCTAGACTACATTTTGTACAAACGCGTATCGGTCAACTAGTGACAGGGAACCTCCAACTTTTGCGTCCACCTAGTCGCACCTCCCAATTGCTCGCTTCGTCAAACAAATGGGAAGGATAAGAGAAGAAGGATATTACGTACGTTCTCCTTGGAAAGAGAATTGTTTATTCTTGCCGGACAACCGAGTGATTGCGTATCGACGCCTGATTAGCACGTAGGGCTTCACTTAAAGAAAAGGATTATTAGACCAATACAATGAGGTTTTCCAGGACCAACTCAGACAAAACATCATTGAAGTAGTAAACGAAGAGGAACGAGTATTGGGTCGAGTTCATTATATACCCCATCAGGCGGTCCTTACTCCTCGATAAAAATACAACCAAATTACCGATAGTATTTGACGCTTCAGTCCCACTACAGAAACGCGTGCTCTTTGAATGACAATTTACACAGGGGGCCGGTCATTCTTCCGAGTTTACACGGGCTTCTACTTCGCTTCAGATTCGGACGGATTGCAATGAACGCGGACGTTGAAAAGGCGTTCCTACAGGTCCACCTTCAAGAAACGATAGAGATTCAACTGTAGACGTATCGCGATAAAGCATGTTAGGACTGCAACGTCGTCCATGGGGCAAGGATTGTAGCTTTTAAGAACAGTAGTAGTTCAGATTATCATCTACGTCCTCTTGTGCCGTCGGCTGGAGCAGACTGCTCCACATCTTCCGTTGTAAGTGTTTTGAAGATAAAGTTTCTTGAGGGAGGGAAAAGGATCTAAACCACACAACACACGCCAACAAGCACTTGGGCCGGAACGAACAAAACCCTCATAGGAAACTTTGTTGACAAACAATCTTTCAACAGCACTTGGAAGAAGAGTTCCCCTCTCACTTCCTGATAGTGCAACCAGCTCAAGAGCCGTTTGTCGCAGGTGGAGCTGAATAGCTGCCGTGGGGTAGCACCACTAAGTGAGTGGAATAGCATCCATTCATCATACTTAGTGGGCGGGTAAGCAGTTTTGTAAGGCAAAACTTTGCGCAAAATTTTTTTGTGCACACTAGCCCAGAACCTACCTAGGAGCAGCCGGAATTGCAAGCTTAGGTAGCTTTGCAGTCTAACAAAGCAGGGCAGCACCGAGAATTCAGCAGAGACCGGATAGAAAGTAGCGTAGCGGCGAAGCTACGTAGCTATTCTTGTGCTATTCAAATACATTGAGATACCAATCGGACACCTTAGGAACCTGGAATCCAGTAACGTGTAGCCTTTGAAATTCTGCTTTGTTTTGCGAGATTTTCGTGAAGTGTTGCCAGAATTACTGAGCATCTAGTCTCATACACTTTCCAGATATGGCTGAAGTGACTTCGATAAGGAAGTGGAAAACATGCTTTCCATGGAGATAGAGGAGGACGCTCGAGTCACACTTCCCAATCACAAGTGTCATCGCTTATGGAGCAAGTACAGAAACTGATACAACAAGCAGCGCAGGTAAAAGAATCATTGTCCATAAAACGTACAGAAGTATGGGCGTTGCACACATTTCCTCAGCGAGCCCTACAAAACCTTGAAAACGGCGGTAATACAAGGTCCGCAGTCAAAAATCGCGAGGAAATAGCTCAAGCAATTTCGGAACTTTCTGGTGCTAGTTATGAAACCATAACTAAAGAGATTCCAAAAATGGACCAATTGATAGACCAGCTTTTGCAATGGAAATGCTACAATTGGGAACAGATGATTGCTTAGCAAAATGAACTGTATGCGCAAGCGCGACATGATGATCACTGTCTGCGAGAATTAGCGCCCATCCTCAATGTGGCTTCAACAGAAGTTGTAAGCGTTGTAACGAGCTACTTTGACAAGCAAGAAAGTGGCAATGACCCTAGTTTTGAAACTGTGAATTACACCAACGAGAGTCAGCCTAGCGGAAACAAGCGACCTGAGAATAATAATAAGAAGTCCTTCTTTCAGCAACTAATGGAAGTAGACGGACCTACCGTGTGTCACTGCCGATTTTAGAACGGCCGAGACTTCACTACGACTACAGAACTCACGCGTTTCAATTCGGTGGAAGCAGAACGAGGTCAGTTTTCCCACGTGTCAGAAAAACCAGGGAAATGATATGCAGACACCTCAACATGAAAATCTGCAAATGAGTAATAATGCAATTTTGCAGTTGCCGGGATGCAAAGAGAGGCCAATTACCGCAACACCAATGCAGAACAGAGAAGGTGTGTTTTGATCTCCGACTCAATTTTCAACAGAATTGGGTGTAGGTGCAACATTAGCGGCTATGGCTCTACCGGATGTGGTACCTTTCTCCCATCCTCAAGGAAAAGGGTTTAAAAACTTCGTAACTCTTCCATATGAAATATGGCAAATTAGGTTTATTAAGATGACATGCTCATTCACCTTATGTGCTCAAAATTGCAGGGGTACCCAAAAGCAGTAATGGAAACCTTACCCCGAAATTGCCGAGAGGGAAGTTACATTATCTTTCTGGAAACGATGAGAGCTAATTTTAAAGAAATGATTCTGCGCAGCGCACAGAGGCATACATAAAATTGAAGCAGCTTTGAAAATGCTCTTCAGTAGCAGACTACTGTGTGGAATTGGAGGAGCTAACTCGCAGAGTCTATCCAGACGCAAGCGATAAAGAGCTGTCTACGATTCGAGCAGTAGAACTCATAACACAACTCACAGAATGGAAAGAATACACACAACTCTCCAGCGCATTAGAGCAGTCGAAATAGGAAGAAGCTTACGAAAGGCTCAAAAACATGGCACAATGCATCGAAAGAAGCCGGAAAGTGGCCAATGCGGTGCGATTCGCTGTCAGATCAAGTTATGACAGTCGTCAAGACGAAGTACGGGATCGTTCTAAGACTGTGTCTCCATCAAGCGCCACTAAAACTGAGAAGCCAGGACAGCTCGATGGAAATAGAGAAATAAAAGCTTGCTCTTTTTGCAAGAAAGAAGGGCATTACAGAAGAGATTGCTGGAAAGCTCGCGGGGATCGAAACACACAATCTCAAAAGGTACAATCCGTACAATCGCCACCTAGCACTGCTAGTCTTCCAAATCCAAATAGCGTCCCTAAGAAGCAAAGGAAGGAGAGCAGCGAAACGTTCACCACAATCGTTGGAATTGCAATAAAATCAAGGCGAATTCAAAGCTGACAGTGAATTGTTCAGCAAACATACCATCGCCACAGTGAATCTCCTGGGCATGTCAAAGCTAGCGCTACTGGACAATGGATCTCAAATTAGTATTATGCCACTCAGGGTACTAAATGAGGCGCAAGAAGCAGGAGTTGACATAGACGGAGATGTGGAAGAAATACCAATGCCCAAGCATAGGACAATCTATGACGTCTCTGGGAACAAAATGAGCTTTAAAGTCGCAATACGCCTTACAGAAAAGACTAGAAACACACAGCCCCGAAGGGTGGCAATGTTGGTCAGAAGTCACATGACGATATGATAGTCTCCAGAACCAATGCACTAGGGACATTCAACTTACTGCTGAAGGAAGACCACAATTCAGTTGCATCGACGAAGTCCCAACAAGGGCGAGATAGACCATTAAGACGAAGCCGTTTGAATAAAAACAGGACGCTACAAAAGGGAAACTTTCGGATTTATCTATCTACGGTAGTTCAGCGAGTATACATTCGGCTAGGAGAAACAAAAGCCGTGGCTATTTCCATGCCAAAGACCGGGAACGGATCGGATGTTATGGTCGCATTGCGATGTTATTCCTGATACCATATGTTGCAGCAGCAAACCTGTAATCGAGATACCAGTGACCAACACATTGTATCAACCTAAAGTCTTCCGTGCAGGAGAAGAAGTAGGGAGCTGGGACACAAGTTCCATCGTGGAACGACCACCGGCGGAACACACTAACATGTTGGAACGCACTTGTCGCAGTATTCCCGAACGGGAACAAGAACTTTGGCAGTTACTCTGCCAAAGAAAACAGAATACGGAAAATTACAAGCTTCTCAGAGACCTAATAGAACAATTCAGCGATGTTTTCGCAGTCTCGGATCAAGAATTATCTGAACTATGTAAGATATTAGCAGACCTGCCGGAGCGCAACATTATCGAGCGCAGTGAATCCAACTGGGCCTCACCCATAGTCCTTGTTCCAAAAAAGGATGGATCATTAAGGCTATGTGTGGATTACAGAAAGCTTAATCAGGTCACGAGGTGCATAACTACCCGTTACCTACCGTAGATACCATTTTACAAGACCTCAAAGGCAAACGATACTTTTCCACGCTCGATCTTGCCTCCGGATACTGGCAAATAAAACTCACCAAGAGAGGCTAAAGAAAAAAGCGCTTTTATCACAACGGAGAGGACTCTTCCAGTTCAAAGTGCTTCCTTTTGGTCTAGCCTCATCACCTGCAGTCTTCCAACGGCTAATGCATCAAGTTCTGGGCCATCTATTGAATGAAGAGGTCTTCTGTTATCTTGACGACATTATGGCGGCAACAATACTTACGAAAAGCATCTCCAAGTATTGAGAGAGGTTCTGTGCGCATTACGGGAGGCGCATCTCAAACTGAACCCTCGGAAATGTAACTAGTCGAGAAGGCTGTAACGTTTCTTGGCCACCTCATCGATCAAGACGGACTTCACAGGGATCCTCAAGAAGGTGGCAGTCCATCATAAAACATCCGGAGGCTCAAACTAGATCTGATCTGAGCACCTTCCTTGGGATGTGTTCTTACTATCGAAAATTTGTGCTGAGATTTTCGAAAATTCCTGGACCACTGCACGAAATGACGTCCGAAAAGCAGTCCTATACCTGGACACAATCAAGACGAGAGGCATTTTCAAGTTAAAGGAAATTATCAAACAAGCTCCCGTTCTTGCACAGCCAGATATTGACGCAGCAAGAGACGGCAAAAGACCATTCAAGATCCACACGGATGCCAGCTACTCTGGACCAGGTGCCGTACTTAGTCAAGAGAGTGATGATGGATTCTTGCATCCGATATTTTTGCGTCGAAAAGCCTATCAAAGAGTGAGAAAAATTATCAATATAACAGATTTCGAAGCCTATCTGTTTTGTTTGTTAACTGCTGTTTTAACGCCGCAGTTCGCGTTGCGAATGTTTCACAAGAATGCTGGGTTGTGAACAAAACTTTCGCCCCAGGCGGGACTAGAACCCGCACCTCTCGCTTTCCGGGCAAGTGCGCTACCAGTTACGCTACCGGGGCACCATTTCATTCCAACTCAGCTTTTCATGGTATACGTACCATAGCTTTCAGCACTCACACGTATAACGTGTTGAGCCGGTTAGCCGATATCGGCAATGACCGCGAGGCTGAAAGCTTTAGCAATGATTTTGACTTGTTTTGTTTGTTAACTGCTGTTTTAACGCCGCAGTTCGCGTTGCGAATGTTTCACAAGAATGCTGGGTTGTGAACAAAACTTTCGCCCCAGGCGGGACTAGAACCCGCACCTCTCGCTTTCCGGGCAAGTGCGCTACCAGTTACGCTACCGGGGCACCATTTCATTCCAACTCAGCTTTTCATGGTATACGTACCATAGCTTTCAGCACTCACACGTATCTAACGTGTTGAGCCGGTTAGCCGATATCGGCAATGACCGCGAGGCTGAAAGCTTTAGCAATGAATTTTGACTTGTTTTGTTTGTTAACTGCTGTTTTAACGCCGCAGTTCGCGTTGCGAATGTTTCACAAGAATGCTGGGTTGTGAACAAAACTTTCGCCCCAGGCGGGACTAGAACCCGCACCTCTCGCTTTCCGGGCAAGTGCGCTACCAGTTACGCTACCGGGGCACCATTTCATTCCCAACTCAGCTTTTCATGGTATACGTACCATAGCTTTCAGCACTCACACGTCTAACGTGTTGAGCCGGTTAGCCGATATCGGCAATGACCGCGAGGCTGAAAGCTTTAGCAATGATTTTGACTTGTTTTGTTTGTTAACTGCTGTTTTAACGCCGCAGTTCGCGTTGCGAATGTTTCACAAGAATGCTGGGTTGTGAACAAAACTTTCGCCCCAGGCGGGACTAGAACCCGCACCTCTCGCTTTCCGGGCAAGTGCGCTACCAGTTACGCTACCGGGGCACCATTTCATTCCAACTCAGCTTTTCATGGTATACGTACCATAGCTTTCAGCACTCACACGTCTAACGTGTTGAGCCGGTTAGCCGATATCGGCAATGACCGCGAGGCTGAAAGCTTTAGCAATGAATTTTGACTTGTTTTGTTTGTTAACTGCTGTTTTAACGCCGCAGTTCGCGTTGCGAATGTTTCACAAGAATGCTGGGTTGTGAACAAAACTTTCGCCCCAGGCGGGACTAGAACCCGCACCTCTCGCTTTCCGGGCAAGTGCGCTACCAGTTACGCTACCGGGGCACCATTTCATTCCAACTCAGCTTTTCATGGTATACGTACCATAGCTTTCAGCACTCACACGTCTAACGTGTTGAGCCGGTTAGCCGATATCGGCAATGACCGCGAGGCTGAAAGCTTTAGCAATGATTTTGACTTGTTTTGTTTGTTAACTGCTGTTTTAACGCCGCAGTTCGCGTTGCGAATGTTTCACAAGAATGCTGGGTTGTGAACAAAACTTTCGCCCCAGGCGGGACTAGAACCCGCACCTCTCGCTTTCCGGGCAAGTGCGCTACCAGTTACGCTACCGGGGCACCATTTCATCCCAACTCAGCTTTCATGGTATACGTACCATAGCTTTCAGCACTCACACGTATAACGTGTTGAGCCGGTTAGCCGATATCGGCAATGACCGCGAGGCTGAAAGCTTTAGCAATGATTTTGACTTGTTTTGTTTGTTAACTGCTGTTTTAACGCCGCAGTTCGCGTTGCGAATGTTTCACAAGAATGCTGGGTTGTGAACAAAACTTTCGCCCCAGGCGGGACTAGAACCCGCACCTCTCGCTTTCCGGAACTGCGGCGTTAAAACAGCAGTTAACAAACAAAACAAGTCAAAATCATTGCTAAAGCTTTCAGCCTCGCGGTCATTGCCGATATCGGCTAACCGGCTCAACACGTTATACGTGTGAGTGCTGAAAGCTATGGTACGTATACCATGAAAAGCTGAGTTGGAATGAAATGGTGCCCCGGTAGCGTAACTGGTAGCGCACTTGCCCGGAAAGCGAGAGGTGCGGGTTCTAGTCCCGCCTGGGGCGAAAGTTTTGTTCACAACCCAGCATTCTTGTGAAACTTCGTATATTTTGCTATGAGAAAATTTTACGATGTTCATTTATGAGCTGAAAACAGAAGTCTTCACAGATCACCAGCCATTGCTCACACTCTTTACGAGGACTAATGTCTCATCTCGGATACTCCGATGGGCAATGGAAATTCAGAAATACGTCATCAAGATAGTGTATCTCAAAGGAGCAGCTAATAAAGTAGCTGATGCTCTGAGCCGCGGTCCAGTGGACGATAACCCTCTCGCTTAATGGCATATGTACGTAAGCATTGCGGGCATGTGGAAAAATATCGTCGCTGGCGATGCCAGAAGATACAAGGTAGGGCGACTTTGCACGCTTGCGTTTGAGAATAAGTGGTTCCGCCCCAACCAAAAAGAGCGTGTGTTCTAGTTGCTATACTCATTATTAGCAGGACATTTTAGGCCGCAGAAGTATTGAAAACCCTGAAGAAACGCACTGGGAGTCTATGAAAAAGTGATGGTCTCCTCTGGTCAGAGGAATGCAAGAAATGTATTTTGTTCAATCAAAGACCTGGAATTACCCCTCCACTCAAACCAATTGTAACTACAATACCACTCGAAATGGTAGGGATTGACATACTTGAAAATGGGTCAGACTTGGAGCGGTAATCGCTACATTTTAAGCGTCGTGGACCATTTCACCAAGTACGGAGGAGCTTATCTGTTGCCATCAAAATCAGCCGAAAGTGTGGCGCGCACATTGTTTGAGCGCTGGATGGCAGATGGCTGCCGTATCCAGAATGCATATTGTCAGATCAAGGCGGCGAATTCGACAATAAATTAATGGTCGAACTCACCCAAGTGATGGGAATTCGGCAGACACTCACTAAAACTTACAATCCACGCGAAAACGGACTGGCCGAAAGATTCAATTAAGAGTACTATCACTATGCCAAGAAAAAAAAAGCACATCTCCCC